TTTATACTGTGTACTTGGGACTTACGAGATGATGTCGACTTATTAATATTTGCAGTTATTTCGGATTAGTTTGATGAATGAAAGTTTTGTACTATTTTTTTGCATATCCGTTCTCTACAAAGCAAGTTTCGTTGTACAGGACTCAGCACATTGACAATTTGCGCTGCTCGTTACTGGCTGCCGCACTCACTACGACCCCCCCCTCTCCTGGCGGCCAAATACGACCCCCCTGTTGGGGATTCCCCAACCAACGATGTGCCCTGATAAATCGCATCAAGTGCACCTTTCCGCAGTTTTTTCTCTATAGCCGTCGTTTATTGAATGTGTATACGCATTCACACACGGATACTCCCCATTCGACGACCCCCAGAGCCGCGTTGGAGCTTCATAATTTTTAGAATTCTAGGTTTTTAGCGGGTCGAACCGTCCTGTAACCTCCCTCATTTTGAGCCACAGTTTCCTTTCTACGCATTTTGTCCAGTGTATCTTGTCTTATTTTTTGCCATATCTTCAGGATCTATTGACACAAATAAAGAGTTCGGGCACTTTTGAACGCTGGCGCCATTGGGCGTCATGGTGCCATGTCGGATTCGTAATCAGGACCTCAATAAACCCTAATATGCAAGTTGTCATCAACTTTGCTGAAAAAAGTGGTGGCGCCAATTTGGCGCACAAGGGCTGCAAATGGCACCACACTTTTCGTGGTGTTATTTGAGGTCTCACGAGTCCACATGGCACCATTGCGCAAATGGCGCAGCGCTGAAAACGACTTGTGATATTCGTGATTCGAAAGGATTGTCGATTAACCCCCATCTTCAAGTTTTCGAGGTATGAATAAGCATTCAGCTGAGGCTGATAACCGTGTGCTAAAAGGAGCGATGACAGTCGCCATTTTAGCTCCCATCACCAATATACCGGACTATTTTCGGAAGCCCTGTAAAGAGACATTTCGGTGGAATCTTTCCGAGACCGGTGAAGCGTAAATGCCAGTAATTAGAAGCAGTAACTGAATGCTACGAGTGCGCAATTCGGCTTGATGGGGGTGTTTTGCTGGTTGCCATCGATAACTGCCGAAAAAAAATTGAAAGTGCAAAATTCCCTGCAAGTGGAACTGCGCCGTTTTTTGAGCCATCTTCTCCGTTTTTTTTTTGCAATGTTGGGCGGTATTTAGTGTTGAAGGTGCGAGTAAACTAATGTGAACCATAGAGAGAAGAATTTTGCCCCAGTTCTCTTTCTGAGGTGGGCTGAGTGAAGGGCGAACCGATTCATTGCTGTAAAAAGTGGTTTTCGCAAGACCTGAGAAAAAGTTTGTTCACCTTGGAGTCCTTACAGGACTTTTCAGGGTTTTATAAAGTGCCCTGTTTACTAAATTACTGTCTCTTTCAACTTAGCGCTCACGTTTAATAATAAGAGTCATGTTCGATTTCGTGAATGTGTAGCCTAGTTCGCTGCTGTAGAAGGGGCGGTCAGACGGGATGAATTTGACGGTGCCAAACCGTTCCCCACCAGTTGTTGAAACGAGCAGTGGCAAGACTGTATCGTAGGTTTGTACGAATTCGTTTTCTAGCCAATTGTTTGTCGCATATCGCTTCAACACTGGCAGAAAAACGATTTCGCGCTAGCACACTCATATTGCCTGACACGCCCCTTCAACCGCAGCGAACTAGGGTATACTTGCGTTTGCAAGTAATAACCGTGTAAGATTATTTTGTGTTCACAGTATAGCCGCGAGAAAGCGCACGATTATACCTCGATACGATTCTGGTTTCTAGAATGTCAAACGAATGGAGCAACGATTGGGGCGATACTTCTCAAACAACACAACGACACGGTTATCAACAACAGCAACATCAGTATCAAGGATATGGGTAAGAATCATGCACAAGTTGAGTTCAGTTGCACAGGCCATTTGAGAAATATTCTATTCAGAGGTTACTCGGAGCCCAGCTCAGGATACTACCAACAAAGTCAAGGTCAACCGATGGCTCCGCAACAGAATTACGGTGACTATTATGGGCAGCAGCAACCCTCCAACATGGGTATTTTAAGAACATCTTTAATTTGCCAGGAGCTTTACTTCCGGATCTAAAGGTAATTCTGCAGGTTATGGATTCCCAACATCACCCCAAGATTTCATGTCGATCCGATGATGAAGGCCGCGCAACATTTTGGTGGACAATTTGCTGAGCAACAGAAAGAAAAGGTTAGACAATCCATCTGTCATGCAGCGATTCAAGCAGCATTTCATAACGAGGGACTGTTCCATTGGTAAGGCTGCTCATTCCTTGCGGCGTCGTCACCGTCGTCAAAGTAGGCGACGTAATTCGCGACGGAAGATTAGATAGTCGATCCGCCGTCGAAAAAGTATTCGGATCGATACATAACAAATCTTCTAGTCGCTGTTACGTGGAGTCGGCGGTTACGCCGACATGGCGACGACATATCGGATGTGATTGACGGCAGCCCTAAGGCATTGTTCATCACTCGCGGTCCAGCGTTTCTCTGAAACGCGGCGGTTCGGCGAAAAGCTTTCGATACATATCGACTGGCGGTTGGGCGAAGAGCCTGGCGGTTGGGCGAAAGGGTTTTGGTACGTATCGACGGGCGTTTCGCCAAACCGCGACGTTTTTCGCCTTCGACAAAACGCTAGCTCCATCGCGGTGGCGTTTTTCGCCAGCGAAATCGATACACATCTACTGCTTTTCGCCCAACGCCCAACCGCGGCGGTTGGACGGTTGGGCGATTCTCGATCGATGACTATTTTATTGCTTTTCTTCCAACCGCCGTTTCGTCAGGGCCTGACTGTAGACAATGCGTAAGTAAAAATAAATTTTTGTCGTTCAATCCTTTTGGGAAGCGGCACGTTTTCTTTACTCTAGTACGCTCGTGGTGAAGGGTCGTGTAAGGTAGGCGAGTGTGCCACGGCGCCAAACCCATTCTGCGCCAGTTGTATATGACAACAGCTGGTAGAAAACGAGTGATACGAACGATATGATACAGTCTTGTCACTTGCTCTTGCTCGCTTCGACAACTGGTGGAGAACGGGATTGACACTGCGCCAAACTTATCACGCCTGACACGCTCCCTTGATTGTAGCGAAACAAGCAAGAATCCATTTACAATCGCAGTGGCTTAGTGAATGTGATAGGCCTACAATGACTTACGGGGAGGGGGAATCCGATGTACAACTTAGTGTCTTTATCCTCGTTGACAGATATAGCATCAGTTCACCGCCTTCGTAGGAGAACGCTTTTTTGGACTGGGCGGGAACCGATGCAAGATTCGGTCCTCGGACTGTGCTCGCGGACCTTTTGTCACTGCACAACTTAAGCCGCATCGCATGAATATGCCTTGATTTTCGAAACATTGCTGGATTATACTGGCACCTATATCGTTTTCTTTGGTCACACCCATGAACCTGCAACAGGATTGTCGTGTTTTAAGTCTTAAACGTGCAAAACCTCTCTGGAAGGCCCAATCCTTCCCTTGCTGCTATTATATTGCGACCAAATTTGGGAGCATTGATGCCGACCAGTGCTTGTACCCTTATATTGGTCTGTTGAGCAACGCAAGCTTGCTATAAGCAATGCAGACTTGTTGAATAACAAACCACTTTTTCAGATAATGCGATTTGTTAAATAACAAACCACTTTTTCAGATATCCAAGTACCTCAACACCTTCAATCTCAAATACTATTTCTCAGTTGACAATTCTTATGTCGGGAAGAAGCTCGGAATTCTGCTGTTCCCTTTCTTTCCATCGTGTAAGCTTTTAAATT